GCTTGATATACAGCAGGCGCCTGTTATCATCCATAGTCAGAAAGTGGTCGGAGGGGTGTCAGGTCTGGGGGAGTGATGTGACTTAGTTGACTTGTTTCAAGTGGTAATGGGAAGTTAATCTCATAGGTGAGGTATTCCGTGCGGTTGCTGATGTTGGGTTTTCATGGACGTCTAAGAAAGGCTCATTCGTTGTTGGTCGTTGACATGGTATCTCCTGGGCTGCAGAAAGCTGTGACTGAGGCTAGGATGCATTATGTGCGGTATATTGGGAAGCATTTTTCTTTTGCTCTTCAAAATATGAGAATTTGGGGTGCGACAAGTGCTATGAGCTCACAGAGTTGGATCTGATTGTACAAGGGCAAACCGGGCGGAGGTGGGGATTTCCCCCAGAGTACTCGAAAAACAAGGAATGATCATCATCTATCTGGCGCTCGTGTGTCAAAGACCTTTCTGTAATGTGTTGCGTTGACTCCATGCGGATTCATTCTACACAATTTGTAAGTTACCTGGCTACCCAGCGTCCAAGAAGGCTACCATATCAAGGCATTAACATGGGACAGAGCATGCATGTTAACGGAACTGTACAATGTCTACTAGGTATATACATGCATCAGGTAGAGCTGCTTCTCCTCTTCATCGGCCCCTTGATTAGAACTCCAACGCATCCACCTGCCCCAAGAACGAACTGTTGCCCTCGCCACGCAGCAGCGCCTCGATGTCCACCCGTCCCGAGGTGAGATACCGCTCACTCACACCCACGTTCACCCGCTGCGACAGCAGCTGCTTCAACTCCGCCCTCATGCTGGCCATCTCGGCCTTGCTGGTCTCTCCGGCCTTGCGCTGCCGTTCCTGACGGCCCCGGCCGCGACCGCGACCGCGACCCGCCGACTCATCGAACTCTTCACTGTCGTAATCAACGCCCAGGTCTTCTGCCGCGTTGCGGAGCCAGTTGTCCTCCGCGGAGATCTTCTCCTTGGCGATGGATGAATCCGCGATCTTCGCCGCCAGCTTGACGCGGGGCTTGACGCGACCCACGACCCGGCGGTCCAGCTCGAGAGACTCGAGGGGCACCTTCTTGGCGTTGGCCATGTTGGCGTGAACCTTGGCCGCCAGGCGGATGACGCCCTGCATCTCCTCGGGGGAGCAGATGAGCACGCTCTTGCCCGAGGCACCGGCACGGGCCGTACGACCGGATCGGTGCACGTAGGTGTCGGCGGTACGGGGCGCATGATAGTGGATGACGAAGTCGATGCCCTTGATGTCGAGACCACGCGCCGCCACGTCGGTGGCAACGAGGATCGAACCGGGGTCGGAGGTGGGGGATGAAAAGCGTTCCACGGAGCGCAGACGGGCCTTCTGCGCCATCGAGGAGTGGAGGGCTAGCGCGGGGAGTTGGAGGTTTTGGAGGAACTGTGTGAGACGACGGACGGCCGAGATGGAGTTGGTGAAGACAAGGGTGCGGTGCTTGGGATGGTAGAGAAGTAGCGTGTAAAGGAAGAGATCCTGGGGTCATTTGGTCAGCGAGGGTGATTATTTGACGGTAGTATAACTGTAGGCTTACCTTTTCCATCGCTGCACATTCGACAATGCCTTCCTTCAGTCCCTCCGCCATCTGCGAGACAGGGTTGACATCAATAAACTTGGGCTTCTCTTCTCGGAAGTTCAGCTTCTGCAAAAGATACTCCATCGACTCCTTCTTGTCCATGATATCACCGCTCGTCCAGCGTCCCTTGCCGGCAAGCTTCTGCTGCAAGTCCCGATGGAAAGTAGCAGAGAAGACCAGGGTCTGCCTCTCGTTCTTCTTCTCCTCCTCCTCGGTCGCTTCCTTCTCTTCGTACTGGAAGTCTCCATCCACTATGCGGTCAAGGGTAGTAATGATCTCGTTTGCTTCCTTGAAGTGGCCTTCGCTGAGCAATCTATCAGCCTCATCGATGACAAGGAATTTGATACCCTGCATCTTGCGAATCACACCCTGGCCCGTGCTCATAACCTCCCAAACTCGACCCGGCGTTCCGACCACAATATCCGCACTAGCCAACAAGCGCTGCTGTTTCTGTAAGGACAAACCTCCCGTGAGAAGGGCGATGCGTGCATTGGCGCCTGGCGACTGCTGGATCAAGTCACCAATATGCTTGGCCAACTGATGTGCGAGTTCGCGAGTGGGCGAGAGAACCAGGGCGATGGGTTCCGTGTCTTCCTTCTTCTTCTGGGTACCATTGCGCAGTTGCGTGCGCTTGATCTCCAAATAGTGTTCCAGGATCGGGATACCGAAGGCCAAGGTCTTTCCGGAACCTGTTGATGCCTTTCCTACCACGTCATGGCCGTCGAGGATGGGAGGAATACAAGACTTCTGGACCAGAGTGGGCGTAGAGAACTTCAGTTTCGAAAGACCGGTGAGCACTTCCGGAGAGAGTCCCAGTGACTCCCACTCGGAAATATCCACGCCGTTATCCTCTTCCACGTCCTCGAGAGCGGCGAAAGAAAGACCAGACTTGATGCTCTTGTCCTCCTGATTCGGGGTTCCCTTCTTGCTCTGATCGGCTTTCTGTTTCCTTGCTTCCTTGGCTTCCTGCCGCTTCTTATCCCTCTTCTCTTTCCTTTTATCTTTGGCTTCTTGCTGCTTGTCCGTCACAGGGGACTTGATAGCCTCATCCTGCTCTTCATTTTGTTCTTCCGTGGTTGGTGCTTCCGTCTTCTCCTTCTCCGAGGTCTCGTTGTCGCTGATTCCAGCCCATTCGTCGTCGAATTTTGCTTCTTCCTCTTGCTCTTCCGCGGTCTTCTTCTTCAGAATCGACTTTGGCGGTTTGCCAGCGGCGGCCTGCGAACGTCAATTTCACTGTCTGCAGCTGAATACCAGCTCGATGTCATACCTTGAACCTAATTTCACCGCTTGCCTTGATAACGTCCACGCCGTCAATCTCCTCTAGTCCGAAGAAGCCTCCTGCATCCTCCATACGATCGGGCAGCGCAACTTCCTTCCAGTTGAGATCGTTCACAGTAACGACGTCCGCATTGGCGCTCTTCTTCTGCTTCTTCGTCTGGACATCTGCGCCCTTGGCATCGCGCTGCCGTTTTTGACCCATGATGACACACAGCGACTGGAACTTTTCAGACGAACGATCACCTCCGCGACAAGTGAATGACAAGAACAAGCTGATGGAAGAAAGATAGGCAGGGGAGCGGGCCTGGCCTGCGAAACCTGCGGGAAAGAAAAAAAAGCGGCAGAAAATGGCCGCCTTGGGAATCTTATCGCCGCCCCACACGCAAGACCGAAAGAAATTCCGCCCATTTCCCCCTCCATTGCCTGGAATCTGACTCGCACTTCCCCCAACCTTTTACTTCAATTGCATTGTACAAGGTCTGAATCAGTATGGGTAAATCCTCCAAGGACAAGCGCGATGCCTACTACCGCCTGGCCAAGGAGCAGAATTGGCGCGCCCGCTCCGCCTTCAAGCTGATCCAGATTGATGAGCAATTCGACCTATTCGAGCACGAGAACCCGGAGAAGGTGACCCGCGTCGTCGATCTGTGCGCCGCCCCCGGCAGTTGGAGTCAGGTCCTGAGTCGCGTGTTGATCAAGGGCGAGAGTTTCGGGCGCCGCGCCTGGGTTGAGAAAAAGCGCCGGGAGAAGGAGGCCCTCGAACGGGTGCAGAGCGATGGAAGCAGCAACAACGAGTCACCACAATCAGCGAACGAGGATGAGACGACAACGGAGGAAGAGCTGAAGCCGCGGAAGAACGTCAAGATCGTCTCCATCGATCTGCAGCCCATGGCCCCCCTGGAGGGCATCACGACCCTCAAAGCCGACATCACCCACCCCTCCACCATTCCTCTTCTCCTGCGAGCCCTGGACCCCGAAGCCTACGAATTCACCACTACCACCAGCGCTGATAACTCATCCCCCTCCACCACCCCTACGCCGACCGCCGTCCGTCCTCCGCACCCCGTCGACCTGGTCATCTCCGACGGCGCCCCCGACGTGACCGGCCTCCACGACCTAGACATCTACATCCAATCGCAACTCCTCTACTCCGCGCTCAACCTCGCCCTGGGCGTCCTCCGCCCCGGCGGCAAGTTCGTCGCCAAGATCTTCCGCGGCCGCGACGTGGACCTCCTGTACGCGCAGCTGCGCACCGTCTTCGAGAAGGTCAGCGTAGCCAAGCCGCGGAGCAGCCGCGCCAGCAGTCTGGAGGCCTTTGTGGTCTGCGAGGGCTTCATCCCGCCGTCCATCCACGACGGACTGAAGGGCATGGAGGCGCTCAAGAACCCGGTCTTCGGCGGTGTCGCCGTGACGGCTCCTGCCTCTGCAGCAGCGGGCAACAACGTGGCCGTTGAGGTGACGGATGAGACGCCCGGGGCGGCGGCGCCCGTGCAGGTGAACCATCCGGCCCCAGTCAACACGACGCTCAACAACGACAACGACACCGACACCGCGCGCCTGCTCCACCCGGAGTCGCTGGCTTCCGCTGTCCCCGAACCGTTGGCGTATAAGCCCCTCGCCGAGAAGTTCTCCGTCGAGAATCGCTGGATTCCGCGTTTTATCGCCTGTGGCGATCTCTCTGCGTGGGACTCGGATGCTTCGTATGCCCTGCCACCGGATCACGTTAGTCTCGACCCCGTGCAGCCGCCTACGGCGCCGCCGTACCGGCGGGCGCTGGAGCTGAGGAAGGAGAAGGGTGGAGCCTACGGGAAGACAAAGTTGGGGGCCATGGGTCGGGCTTGAAGAATGTCGCCCTAGGTAGGATAATTATTCGCGTGGGGTTGGAGTTGGGCTGATTTTTGTGTATATGATACTATGTCACGACCTGTTCCGTGTTCAGAGCTGTTTATGTCCGGGAGGCTAGATCTCTTTCCTTTGGGTGCGCGTGTGTGGTCTGTCGTTCGAGGACGATATGAGGACCTCAAAAGAATATAGCAGATATACCCCATAGATCTACAAAAGATGGGAGTTGGCTTTTGTTTGATTGCTTCAATTAGTCATCCGAGTGTCATTCCATGCCTCACCTCGTGCCCGCTTCTCTCGCCAGTGTGTCATCCACAGTCCCTTCCTTCACAGACTCCAACTGTTTAACTCCCTGAAGGTACCGGTCGAATCGTCCAGTCACCGTGATCACCTTCTTTATGATCTCATAATTCAATCTCTTGTTCTTGAACTCTGCGAGCTGCCGAGCGGTTGTGATCGCATTACGGATCTGTCGCCCATTCATCTCGTACATGCTCAAGTCATTGATGTGCAGAACCAGGTCGTCGAAGTCCATGCTGCAGGCCTCTGACGCGCGCAGGTGTTTGATAAAGTTGGACCAGATCTGATGGCGTTGATCAGGCCCCAGACTCTCGTAATGGAGGGCTAGCTGAATGCGCGAGCGGAATGCTTCGTCAAAGTGGCCGACTCGGTTGGAGGTCAGGATCAGGATGCCGTTGTAGTATTCGAGGACGCGGAGGAAGACGGAAACAAGGGCGTTGCGCTCGAGGTCGGCCAACGTCCGCTCCTCGAGGAATATGTCGGCCTCGTCCAGGAGAACTACGCAGCCCCAGATGCGGCCCAGCCGCAGCACCGTCTCCAGGTACTTTTCCACGTCGGCCGGCCGCGTGCCAATGTCGCCGCAGGTAACCCGGTAGAGGGGCTTCCGCGCATAGTCGGCCACACTCTCCGCAGTGTAGGTCTTCCCCGTGCCCGGTCCGCCGTGGAGAAGGATGATCAGCCCGTTGCCCTTGCCGGATATCAGGTCCGTGCTTGTTTCGATGCTCAGCTGGTTCCTCACAAGAGCCTCGAGGAGATCCTTCGTCTGCTCCTCGGTGACCAGATTCTCGAAGGCCTGAGTGTTCCACCGCACGTCACTGATGTGTTCGACCTCGAGATCGATCCAGACTTTCTCTATCAGGTTGTACCCTTGGACGACACGGGGCAGCAGCAGAGGAAAAGGGTGCTCGGGGCATTGCTCCTGGGAAAGGATGTGGTCGGGTAGATCGGCATATGCCATGGACGTCTCTCCGGCCACTTGAGTCCCATGCATTCGCTGGTAGGTGACTGGATCAATCATGTACCTCGACTTGATGCTGCTCCATGCATGAAGACCGGCATCTTTGCCGTACTCCACATATCGTCGCTGCCGACATTTCCAAAACGAGACTCCCCGCTCGCGGAGTCTCTGCTCGACACTCGAGCCTGCAAACTGGAGAGGATAAAAATTCAATGAATTTATAGGGAATGCTTCCTCAACATCGGGGGCAAGATTGAGTCGTTGAACTTGCCGCTGCCGGCGAAACGAGATCTGGAATGACCAAAATGCAACCTCTATGGACCACGATAGCTGAAGACATTGTCGCTGCTGGTTCGAGTTCAGCGTGCCATTTCTCACCTTAAGCGCATTTTCCTGCGCTAGAAGAATATTTCTCTCTGGGTAACTCTCCGCGCCGTACAGCGAAGATTCGGCTTGGACTGCCTCCACCAATTTGTGACCTGGGATATAGAGGATGTCCCCTGGTTTGATCAAGTACTTGAGGAATCGCGCACACACCAAGCCTTGCTCAAACTGGGCCCGTACTTGCGCATGTTCTGGATGAAAGCCTTCTTGCACATACCGCACAAACATGTTCCACGGCCCCTGCACGCGCTCGGGAAGCGAGTTCTTCATGGAGATAAACTTCTCCCAGTGATGGTATATCGCCAGGTAAGGAGCCTGCAGCTCCTGATCCCATGACTTCTCCAGCCGCAGTGGGATCCCGTTGTTCGGCGGTAATGATCGCAAGAATCGATTCATGGCTTCTACAAGTTTGGGATAGACGAACATTGTCGACTCCATACATGGTGATGGATATCCGTCATCCGACGGGTACGGATTGGTTTGACCCACTGTCGAGAAGTGATTTCCGTCAGGTCTATCCTTGCCGTAATCTCGGAAGACCACGAAGGAGAGCTCCGAATGTCGCTCGATGTATGCTCCCATATCTAGAATGGGCTCGGTACCAGCCAGTGGCTCGTGGTACGGTATGCCACCATACCATCTGGGTTGGTCCAGGTAATGGAAAATCTCAAATATCGTGTTGGAGGATCCAGCATCTTTCTTGAGACGATGTACACGGTGAATCACGCGCCATTCTTGAGGGACTTGTCGTCGTTTTAGTGCTTCCAAGGCTGCAATCTCCGATTTTAGCTCTGATATCCGTTGATTGACGGCTGTGCTATCCACATTCCATCCAGCAGACTGGGTGCTGGTAGGCATGCGCGCCGAGTCTGCTTTACAGTCTCGCCGCTTCGGTAGTATCTCTAGTTCGTGATTTGATTCGAGTGCGTGGGCTTGTCGCTTGACGGTGGCTCGCCTAGGATTCCCTGGAATCTCTTCTTGGAATTCATACTTGTCGGTCTGGAACCTTACTTTCGGTCTCATCGGTGTTTCCTCAGCCAATTCGTGCTCAGGTGAGCTACTACACTCTGACTGGACTACCATTCCCCTGTTTGCCTGTGAGACACGCTTCATCGTTCCTTCAAGCTGACACACGGCGCTCACACCTGATCAAAGTCCGGTTCCTGGAGAGTGTAGTCAATCAGACCTGGTTTCTCTGCTTCTGAAGAATCTAGGCTGGTGGCTCTTTGAGGGAAGGTAGAGTGATGATTGACATGGGCTCAAGCCCTTGAATCTTTATTCAACGAGTGCTTGAAGCTCTTCAGTCTGCGTTCGAGGGGGTGCTTCTCTCGAACCATTTGAGCACCGTCTTACCTGCAGGAGGGAGGACCCCTGCTGGTCAATCAGCTGACCACGGAGCGATCGGCGGTTTGTACACCAAGCGGGGTATTGTCTCCCATGGTCAATAAGATCCTACACAAGCGGCAATGTACCATCATACATACACCGTTGGTCTGGTTTCTGCGCTGCCGAAGGAGCTCTACGCTATACGAGCGCTTTTCGACTCCCGATACCAGGACCCCCCAGTTCACCTTGATCCTAATGACACCAATAGCTATGTCTTCGGCAGGGTCGGGCACCATGATGTTGTCGCCGCTTGCCTCCCACAAGGCGAGTATGGTACGAATTCCGCAGCCGACGTTGCGTCGAACATGCACCGCAGCTTCCCTGCCCTCCGATTCTGTCTGCTGGTAGGAATTGGAGGCGGGGTCCCCTCGAGAACCCACGACGTTCGCCTCGGAGATGTGGTGGTCAGTCAGCCGACCGAGACACACTCCGGGGTAGTCCAGTATGATCTGGGAAAAGTCATGGAGGGTGGCTCCTTTCAAGCCGTGGGGGTTTTGACACGACCCCCGCGTGTCCTAATGAAGGCAATCAGTAATCTGACATCCGATCCTGATCTCCCTCCGGATTTTCTCCAAGATTTTCTGCACCAGATCGCAGCGCGGAATCCTTCCTACCAGAGTCCCGGCTCAGAGAATGATTCATTGCACCAGTCGGACGCCTTGCACAGCATATCCAGTAATGATGGGCTGAACGGATGCGCCTGTCCACTGGTAGACCGGCCGGAGCGCAACCTTGACTACCCCCGAATATTCTATGGTGTGATCGCATCGGGGAACCAGGTAGTGAAGAGCTCAACAGTACGGGACCAGTTGGGATCTCGGCACCGGATTCTCTGCTTGGAGATGGAAGCGGCCGGGGTGATGAACACAATGCCGTGCTTGGTCATCCGTGGCATCTGCGACTACGCAGATGCTCACAAGAACAAAGCGTGGCAAGAGTACGCCGCTGCAACGGCGGCGGCATATGCCAAGGTTCTCTTATCCTACGTCAGGCGTCTTAGTACCAGTGCTAAATATTCACCGGAGACCTCGTCCAACGATCATGCGGAACAAGATTACTACTCGGACACAGAGAGGCCACCGTCGATACCCGCTTCTACAGCGGACGCACCGAACAGCCATCATCTGTCGGTACAGAACCCAGTTCCAACAACCATTGAACAACCGAGACCAAGCATCCCAGTTGAATCAGAGCGTCTCACCGAGCGCTGTATTCTGTCCAGGCGACGCCAATTCTGGAACCCGTGGCCTAGCGACGCCCTTCCAGTTCTTCATTCCCTGCAAGACTGGATCGGATCTGCATCAGGTTCATCCCTCCTCGTCTGCGAGGCAGCATGCGCCGCAGCGCACCCCCGCGCGGTGGATCTGGCGGTTGAGATGGTAGACTTCCTGCGGTCGACAACTAGCCAGCACACTGTACTTTATGGTTTCTCATCCCCGCCCTTCCGCTCGCAAAGCAGCCGCAATATCGATATACTGGAATCCCTACTTAGTCAATGTCTATCCGCCACAGCAGTAGGGGACATTCCTGAGCCCATCGACAGGCCACCCGACAGCAACGACCCTGAGGTCCACCGCCACCACCACCACCATCAGCACCGCGAGCAGAAACTCTTGGAGCGGCTGCTCACCACTCTCGCCCGGGTGGACCAATGTTTCCTCATCGTCGAGGGACCGGACGCACATAGTACGGAACGGCTGGTCGCCGCTCTGGCGGAGATTGTCCACCACCGTCCGGTCGACAGGTCACTCAAGGCGATGATCGTAGGATGTATCGGGTACCAGGCTCCTAGAATTGGGCGTCTTGAGAAAGAGAATAGACTAATTTGCATCAAGATCCCGCCTCTCTCGAGCAGCAGGAGAAAGCCAGGCGTGGCCAAAGGGCGGGCACCGCAGTGGAAGCGCCTAAGACCGTCACTTGCGGCGCCAAATGCTGGATCGCTAACTCGGCTTCCGTAGCGGGCTACGCAAACCGTAGTGAGTGATTATATGTCGGGCTTGTAGAGGATCTTAATTCGAGTGCAATTGGCTTGTTACTGAAGCATATGGGTCTGCCACGTACTGTACACGCCATTGCCTGGATCTAAGGCAAGACCATCACTAGCATGTTTTGGTGGGTTATGGCAATTCGACTCTACTCGACTGAACATGATTGAACACTGAACTGAATGATTTGAAAAGTCTATCCAAGTGAAATCCTGTCGGATGTTCTAGATGCGAAACAGCGCTAAACTCAAACAGGAAGGCCAGCTCACCTGCAGCGGTGCCGACCCTCGTGCTTTTCAGAATATACAGAAAGCGTTTCATCCATTTCATCAACCTCCTCCAACCAACGAACATCCCATCGTCAACTCTAGTACACCTCCAGGACGTATCTCTCCTCGTCCTTGAGCTTCTCGATCTCCTTGTGGGGCTCGACCTTCTTGCCCTGGGCCTTGGCCTCGATGGCGATGGCTTCCTCGAGGACGGCGGTGACGTCGGGCACGGGCCAGGTGGGGCCGCAGAGGTAGAATGCACCCTCCTCGCGGATGTAAGCCTGGACGATCTCGGGCAGCGTCTGGCGCATGCGGTCCTGGATGTAGATCTTCTCGGGTTGGTCACGGGAGAAGGCGCGGCCGAGGACGGTGATGACCCCGGCCTCCTGGTAGGCCTCCCACTCCTCGCCGTAGCAGTACTCCTCGCGCTGGTGACGAGAACCCATGTACAGCAGGACAGCGCCAATCTCCTTGCCCTGGGCCTTCTCGAGGGCCCGGTGCTGGACAAAGGCACGGAAGGGCGCCAGACCGGTTCCCAGACCAGCCATGATCAAAGGCTGGGTGGACTTGGGAGGCAGCTTCATCACGCTGGACTTGACGCTGACGGTAATGGGGGTGCCCGGTTGCAGGCGGCTCAGGTAACGTGTCGCCTGGCCGAAGCGGTCACGGCCGCGGGGATCGGTCCAGGTAACGGCGACGATCATGAGAGCCACGGTGGTTGGGGTGACCTTCTGGCACGAGGCGATGGAGTACTCACGGCGCTTCATGGGGCCGACGATGCGGATCAGGTCGTGGAAGTCAGGGTGGGCAGAGGGGTATTCCAGAAGGATGTCAGCGAAGCTGACAGTGTCGACCTCAGCACGGCGCTTGAACTCCACGGCACCTTCGGGGCCACCGAGGGTGCGGAGATCGGTCTTCTCCTTCTCGTCATCGGCGAACTCGGCAAGGGCTTCGTAGAAGCGCTTGGGAGGGCGACCGAAGATGTCGATGTTCTGAACCAGCGCCTGGTAAACAGTGCGGTTCTCCAGAACCGCGGGGTCCTCACGGCTGGGCACTTCGACAATGTCATCGGCGTTGAGGCCATAGAATTTGATGAACTCGAGAACCTCGTTGGCGTCGTTCTCAGCGTGGACACCCAGTGCCTCGCCGATGTCGTACTTGAGTCCAGAGTCGCCAAGGTCGAACTCAATGTGGAAGATGTTACGATCATAGGTGACAGGGGTCAAGCGTCTGTTCTCCTTGACATGAACCGTGAAGGTCTTGGTAGCAAGGTCAGGACGGAGAGCAGTCTTAGTATCATAGGCCTCCTTGAAAGCCAAGCCCTTGGCGGCGGCCTCCCAGTCCTTGAGGTAGGAGGCAGGCTCACTCTCTTCCTTGTCGAAGGCAACAAAGCTGTTGGGGGAGATGTCCTTGGGCAACTGAGGAATCTGGGCTCCCTCCTCAGGGGTCTTCCAAGACTCAGGGACTTCGATCTGGCGAAGAACCTTCTCGAGGTCCTTGCTGACACTCTCCAAAGCATCAGCATTGCCCACAATCGAGGCCAGCTTCTTGATGCCAACCGACTCTTGGGTGGGCAGAGCCACACGCAAAAAGGCGACCTGAATGACAGAAGACTCGGGGACAGACTCTCCGGCAGCGGAGGGGTCAACGAAGTAGAGGGAGATTCCGCGCTCGGCGATGGACTGTCTGAAGGCCACAGGCAGCTTCTTTTCCAGCTCATCGTCCTTCACGCCAGGGGCGTTGACAATGATGTTGCCACCAGCCTTGACAGAAGCGACAACATCAATGTCTCCCAAAAGCTTGAGGTCTCCGACGAAGGTGGTGTCGGCGGCAGTGACGGAGTAAGGAGCATCCAGAATCTTGGAACTCTTGCGGATATCGACGCGGACAATTCCTCCTTGAATCAGGTTGTCATGAGCCTTGCTGGTAGTGACATTGCTGGCGGAGTCGGCAGCCAAAGCCTGGGAGAGAACAGTTGCGATATCACCGCCAACGGAGTTGTCAGTGTCCCAGAAAGAGTATTCCTGGACAGCAGACGGGTCCAAAAGCTGGAGGGGCTCAGTCTCGGCGCCGGCCTGGACGATAGGCTTCTCGTGAATAAGCTGGAAAGCGGCGGCGGTGTTGATCAAATCCCAACGCTGAGAGCGGGGGTACTTGATGTCCACGGTGGTCGGGGCCTGCTCACGGTCGGTAGCAAAAGTAAGGGCAGCAAGAACGTCCTCATAGAGGGCGGAACGAACGCCCTGTTCTTGGACGGCCTGCTCGTTGGCAACTTGTCCCAGAACACCGACAGTCTTGACAGACTTGGGCAGCACGCGCAGGAACTCTTCTTCCACGAAGGGACGGTAGACACGGACATTTACCACACCCACACGAACACCGTCCTTGGCGAGAGAGCGGGCGATCTGGGCAGTGAGGGATGCCTCGACGGTACCAAAGGCAACCAGAACAGAAACGGGTTCGGCATGGCCATGGTACTCGAAGAGACCGTAATCGGTTCCGAGCTCACCGTTCAAAGACTGAAGAAGCTCCAGAAGCTTGCCCTGGTTGTCGAGGTGGCGGCTGCGGGAATCCTCCAGAGTCTTACGGACAGATTCGTACGTGCGAGCAAGGCCGGCTTGATCGAGGATGTCGATGACACGAGTGTGCTCCCGGCCAACGCGCACACCATCATAGATGTGAACGGAAGGCAGGACAGAGGCGAGCAGAGTGGTCAGGAGGGCCATGTGCTGCGATTCGTGGGCAGAGGCACTGGAAACCAGGCCCAGTCCAAGCTCCTCGGCGAGGGCGAGGGCAGTGGCATAGTCGGAGACCAGGCCGTCTTCGGCGGCATAGTCGACAGCAGCAACATGGGCAGCAACAGGGCTAGCCACAGAGTAGAGCAGCGAGAGTTGCTCCAAAGCCGCACGCATGTAGGGGAGGGTAGCCGAAGAGGCAACGATACCCTGAGGGACGTGGCGCTTCTTCAGGTCGAAGTCTTGAGAGAAGATGTAACCGAGAGCGATGTTACCGGCACCCTGGCGAGTCTCCATAGCCTTGATCTCGGGGGATTCGCCATTGGCATTGGTCTCCTGGCTGGAAGCCCACTGGCGGAGAGCAGCATCCAGATCGAATGACTCAGGAGAGTAAGAGAAGATCTTATCACTGAGGAGGTATGCGACCTGCTGAATGAGGGTCTGGGCGGTCACATAGGTAGGGCCGCTGAGGGCAGACAAGGCTGGGGAAGAAGCACCCATTGTGAGGAAATCTTGCCTGGATACCGGTGTCACACAACCGATAACACTTAGGGTGAAGACAAGAGAGAGAGAGAGAAAGAGAGAATAAGTGGAGGAAAGACGAGGGCAATGAGGGGGAGGGGGATAAAAAGCCCGTCGCCGCCGTATAGAAAAGCCCAGGGGATCATGCCTTATCCGGCTAGTGGCAATCACGCAATTTCTTATCGATAAAAAATTGGAGGGTCGGAGGCGGGATCTGAGGGCAGAATATCTCCGCTTTCGGCCGACTTCCCCGCATTACTAATGCAAGGAACCATGGGGGCCTGGGCAGTGAGCACGTGAAGGGTCGGTCCTTCTGCCTGAGGCACGAACTGTGAGTTTGTGCTGAGTAGGTTTGTAATGGACCCGCTGATCTCCCCAATAAACGTCATCCGCGCATTTCCTTTCAAGCCGCACTGCAGGAGATTGAATCCCCCAACCTACTATATCTGTCCACTGATCACATCCGTACTTCACTACATACAATCAGCATAATGGCTAACGTCGCTCTACTCGGTTCTACTGGCATGGTGGTACGTCCTGAGCAAACAAGCTCTTTTTAGGCTCACGCCAAGGCCCGTGATGTTCTCCCTTGATTACATCCCTGCTCAAGACTATCGCGATGTATATGGGAGGTTCCGAGAAAGACTCTACTCAAGAATATACTAACCACAAATCTTCCCAGGGGAGCTGCATTCTCACCAGCCTGCTCAAAAACCCCTCTATCGCCCGCGTGGACACAATCTCCCGCCGCACGCCGCAACCTGCCACGGCCGCGCCGCAGGAGAAGCTCACCACCTTCGTCTCCGACGACACCTCCAAGTGGGCCGAACAGCTCGCGTCGCTGACCCCGACCCCCAGCATCTACATCTCCGCCTTCGGCACCACCCGCGCCGCCGCCGGCGGGTTCGACAACCAGTACAAGATCGAGCACGGTCTAAACGTCGAGACGGCGCGCGCGGCGCGCGACGCCGGCGTCAAGGTGTACGTGCTGATCTCCTCGTCGGGCGCCGACAAGGGCTCGTTCTTCGCCTACCCGCGGATGAAGGGCGAGATCGAGGAGGATGTCAAGGCGCTGGGCTTCGAGCGGACCGTCATCCTGCGGCCCGGGCTGATCGACGGGCAGCGCGAGGAGAGTCGCCCCGCGGAGGCGGTGGTGCGTGGGTTCGCGGGTCTCCTGGGCAAGGTCCACTCCAGCCTGAAGGACGGATGGGCGCAGGATGCCGATGTCATCGGCCGGGCCGCGGTCAATGCCGGGTTGAAGGCGCTGGAGGGCAATGTCCCTGCCGGTAGTGAGAAGGTCTGGATGCTGCATGGCAGCGAGATCCTTCAGTTGGGTAAGGAGTAGAAGGACGGAAACAATCTTTGAACGGCTTGATAGCACTGCACTAGTTGGCTTTCCGGAGTTGGTGTATTACTAGTTTGTGTATTTTTACGGGAACCGAAATTGTGATTGACGGACTGGACTGGACTGGGATAGGAGTCTGAAGTCAACCATATATCTCTTAATACGACTATCGTTATCACATACTGCCTTAAAAAGTAGAACGATGCGATCATTGGCAAATGATATCAGGCTTCTATTAAACAAAGTACGTATGTATCACAGAAATCCATTCCGTATCAATACTTCTTATTCCAATCGTTCACCTCCTTCCCCTTCTTCGTCTGGCCCCGCTTGCTCGACGCCTCCCGATCCGCATTCCGTTCCGGGGCCCCCTCCGTGGGATCCCGCCCCTCGCTGACGCCCTTGTTCGCGCCGCTGACGTTCAACGGGTTACTCACTTTGCCGCTCTGGTTGGTCTCCTCCTGCGTCGCCTCGATCTGGCTCTCCGGCGAGGTCTTGGAGGGGTCGAAGGCCGCATCGTGCTGCGAGACTTCCTGGTCGGTGCCGGTCTTGGAGAACTCGGAGGGCTGTGGGTCCAGCACGTTTCGGTCGCCGGACTCCATCTCTTCGCGCTGGCCTTGAGACGTGCGAAGCGCGGGGATAGAGTGGAAGGGCCGTTGCGTCTTCTGGTTCACGGTTGCGGTTGCGGCGGCGGCGGGGGTTTGCCGAAGATGGTGGATGCTGCTGCTCTGGCGGAGAGCGCTCCGGCTGATGGATGTGATTTGTTTGAACATGGTTGATAATGCTTGATGGTTGTTTGGTTTGCCTGCAGGACTTGGGAGAGGAGTAATGGGGCAATTGAGGTATGTCGAACGATGTAGTATGTATGGTTTTATAGTACTGGAAGCGCGAGGTATGGCTGTCTTAGTCGTTTAGTCAATGCGGCTCGTATCTTAGAGAAATTGGAGAAACTTACAGATGAATGAGGACTTCAGCAGTAGTAGACGGGATTGACAATGTATGATGGAAGAACAAGAACGATCTGGGGAGGGAGAAAGGGAAATGGAAGGTGGAATGCCCGCCGCTCGCACCCATCATGTTGACGTCATCGGCACTGCAGAAGACATGGCTACCACGTGACGTGAATATGCCGAGCATTGTGCCATCGCAAGCAATGCATGTCTATTGTGTTCAACCCAGGAATTGATCATCCGATTTTACTTGGGTACTTACTTGAGAACAGTACTATCCATTGAATGATCATTTGCAAATGATATCAAGTGCATTCGGCCCAATTCGCGGCAGCTTTACGACTCGCTTGTAACTGACAATACCGAATTGACGTACACGAGGACTACGCAAAAATAATATCTACTGCTTGCTGTTATACTAAAAGCCCGCTCGAATAGAGTACGCCGAGAGACTGGCATAGCACTCTGAGGGTAGCCGCTAAGAAAGAAACATATCTGCCGGATGGTAGAAATGTTTTCTCTAGGCCCGTCCACAAAGCCTGCCCGACATGCCACGTCAATTATCACATACCTGAAATGATCCTCGGCCGACTGTTAAAGTGGGATGGGCACAGTCCTCGTGCATTTCGGTACCAGAGTTTGATATCACCTTCGATGCGGTTTTCTCCGCTGGGACCGACACCTTCGCGCAAGCCTTGCGTAGAATGAGAACCGACTAAATGCCCAGCTGGTCCACAATTGGACTGAAGCACTATGCATTCTAGGGCCGGGTCTATCGATCATGCTGTGACTTGCGAATGTCTTGACTCGAAGAGGAAAGTGCAATCGTAGAATGACCCAGACATCCTTTATTCGCTGTTCGACCTCGAGAGGAGGGCAAGGTTTATGCCAGGAGCAGGGGTCTAGACTATGCAGGACGCACTTTTCGTAGCCCAAGCCCAACACCCGCAGGAAAACAACTTCAGGTGCCAACTTGCAGATGCGAGGACCCGGAAGTCATCCATACTAGCTTTCTTAATGCGTGTTTCTCATGGGCTCCAGATATCGCGACAGGGGTCTTCTTAGCTTGCATGCACTTCCCGAGCAGCCTGTCAGCTGGTGAACTTCATTGGATATGAAGCGCTGACGCTATTTAATAGCCTTTCGAAAATGGACCAATCTCGGCTCGTGCGCTCGGAACAGCAAAGAGTGCGTTCTCACCTTAATCCCCCCAATGCCTGTTTCGCAGGTTCCATTTGTTGACTGCAAGAGAAAAAGGTACGCGCAGAAGCGCAGAAGAAGCCGGTCACGTTACAATCACGGGATCGAAGGAACCCAGCATAGTGGTGCGCGTGGGTGGGTCTCAAAATCCAATTTCAACGTCGTCAGAAGTATATGTAAAAGTCATCGTAGTATGCAGCAGGCATTTCTCGAGCTGTTGCGGCCAGAAAATCACCCCATAGATTTTGGGGTACTGAAAGGGGATCGGCCGGCCTAGCAAGGCCATCTTTTCAAATCCGTAGGCCCCGAATCCTTGTTTCTAATGTGCAATCGCCACAGGCGAGGCTGGATTAGAAACATCCGAAGTAAGACAGCCTGCGAGAAGAGGCAGATGGGTGGCAAATCGCGCTCTGGTATCCGGTGGGAGGAAAAGTCTGAACTCAATGCACGGTGTGTTATCGATGTAATTTCATCATGGCGGTGGTCAGCCAAATCCGGCAGCTGCTGAGTTGGCAACGGCAATCAGTCCATGGATCTATGCTCGTCCACCCAGTGTACCGGACGCCAGAGCGCACCAGCCGATGATTCGATGCTCAATACTACAGGCAGACAAGTAAGAGCCTTTCACGCAATCATCTTCTAGGATGTCCGGACAAGCGGAGATGTGGGAGAATCGAACCCCTATTCGCGGAGTCGGAGGCAAGTCAAAGCGAAATTGACAGCCTCAGAGCCCTTCTAACATTGCACTGATCAGTTTCCAGTTGAGAACAGTCCTCCATCAGCACAACAGACTTGAATCTCGAGCAATTGAGCCAGACGAAGGGTGCCACGTCAGTGAGTCTCCGAGCTCTAATGCAGCTGCATGGATTCAACTGTAGGTGCACCGTACCACAGTCGGTATCTGCCATGGCCGATGAGCACAAATGATATCCTATCGTTTTCAGCGGAGCAAAGCAAGTAACTGAAGATAAACCCTGCACCTGAGCGGGGGCACATGCGGGATTATTCCTCTGCAGATGTGGGAGATCAGCTGAAGAGAATCGGTCCCTCATAGAGACCTGAGCTCGTCATGCAAATGCAAGTCATGTTCACTCTATAGGATCATGTCCAAGGACAAACCAGGTGCCAATCGAGGCCTTCCAGTGACGCGTCTTTCGCCACCATGGATGGAGCGAAGAGAATTTCCTTGGTAAGTGATGACCAGACGGAAGCCTGCGGAGTATACGAGACGGTCACAGGCACGAGGGTTAGCTCATCTGCAAAAGATCGATCAGTGTCCAACAAATTGGAAAAAGCAACTTATTAGTGTTGCAGCCAGACAACGAAACCCTGGCCTATTGGGCAGGCTGGCAGCTTGCTAGAGGTTCGAAAAAGAAAAATGCACCCAGAAGCGGATTCAATCTAGAATCCGGCTTCTTTCTCGGCATGACTCCGTTGCAGAATGTATGCCACCAGGATCACTTGCGATTGAACTAATTGGTCGTAAGCAGATAGTTACAAAGTCATGGATGGGAGAGCATGTAACAAACCAGACTAGGTGGTCGGGGCATTGATCACATTGACGTTTCAAACGGCACCCGTAGTTTTCTATCCCCTCCATGCCGAAATGTTAGGTTGCCGTTCAACGGGAAGGAAAAGACCTTCGATGTAAGACGGACAGCATGACAGCTGGCACAAAAGTAAAAACGACTGCCTCATGCAGGAGCTTTGATTCAGCAAGCGGATGGTCTGGTTGATTCTTGAATTCCGGTTCGTACGCAGCGGAAAGCCATAGACGAAGCGGGGACGATCAACGGAGCATCTCAGGCTGCAACAACAATCCGAGCTAACAGGACAAAGGCCAAAAAGAGATCAATCATGGCGAATGAGGGATTTTCAACACGGGCTGGATGAGAGAACACGACAGCAGGATGTATGCATTTGTGAATCACCCGGTGATTACAGTTGCCCCGAACAGGAAGGGGGTGGGTTTTTCGTGTCTCCACAGTCAAGGAAATTCCAGCATAGCCAACCGCGAAATCACTGAATGGGGAGGTGTGGGTGTGATGATAGAACGCCGTAGTCGACAAGCCATCGGATGCTGAGCTGAATTCGATCGACAATTGATGGGCATGGGACGATAATTGGCCGTCTTGTAACATGAACGCTTTTGACGAAACATAAATAGGGCCACGGAGGCCGTCCACTTCTCGAATTCTGAATCAATAACCGTTTCACACTCTGCTTCTTCAAGGAAACCATTCGAAATAAGACTTCGCTGTCGATTAAAGGTGTTTCAATTCCAGGGCAACCTTCAACCTTCAAGAGTCTTGTGCAAGCTTAGCCTATCAAATCTCTGCACGGCGGCAGGATCTTTGAGCGGACCAATAAAACACAAGCTAGACACTTGAAACCGCAAGCTGCAGCAACGGACAGTGAGTTTCATCCAGACCCTAGGAAAACATTAGCTGACAATGAGAATTAGGTATGTGCTTCTACAACCAGAGGAAGTTTTCATGCGGTGACTGGAGTTGGACCAGCTTCGCTCACCGTTGCAATTACGAATATCGTACGGGCGAGACATGCGGCATGAGACTCGTGAATGAGACCTTCAACGAGAAGGTGAAATGCCGCCTGTGCGATAAGATTGATACCAAGGTGCGGCGGCGAAACGCCGAGGTGGAAAGATTGACTCGATGGAAGCGCGAGGGAGGCACCCTCGTAGCTTCCATGGAACGAAGTCAGGCTTTGATCAAGGAGCTCGAAAGAGAAATTTTCCAGCTGGAGCGAGAGAAGCAAGAAAAGCAGCGAGCACTGTCATAGGAGGACCTTGATGATCTGCGGTGGGAAAATTGAGCGAGAATGTCGCGAGTCAGATGCTGTTTCTTTTCTTCAAATTTCAGATTCCCTCATTGGTTATGCTTCGATCATTCTTCTTGTTTGTATCTTTGGTGGTTAGCCCCTGGGTTTCACTGTCGATGTGTCACGTTGCGTGAACTCGACCATTGTTCATCTCAAACTCATCTTTCAGGCCGCAGCCTCACAATGGTTGGCGGATAGTTTTCGGTCTGAGCAAAAAGCCCTGAGCAAGAGGATCAGGTCCAATAAAGTTGTTTCAATGTTGAAATATTTGGCATTCCCAGGCGCTATCCCTCGGTGGAAGTTCCACACCGTAAGCGCCGATGTTGATGAGCGGCTCGTCAAAGCCAGAAGAGCGTTTCACCACAGCAATTGTTCGGTGAAGAGGGCATCAATGTAGTCAATTACAGCATAAGATGTCCCTTCTGTGAAGAATCACCCTATAAAGCGATGTAGCTGCCCTGGCATTTTCATGAAAGAGAGCAGTGAGAGTTGCGAACGAACGATGGGCTTGGAGATATGGAGCTGGAACAATGGATGGATCCATGATGGATATAGACCAAACCCCGCGTTTCGGCAGTCGCCACGTGATGGCCCTCCTCTTTCGGTTAGAGGCGTCCTCTTCCCAGAGGTTGTGTCAATTGCCAGCACCGATGGTGGATGAATCCAGCACCACGACATCATTAGGTCCGTCAAAGTTAGCTCCTTGCACCAAGCTCCGCTGTGATAATATGAGGTATATAATCCGGACATGGTTCTGCTTCGCGTATTCGGGTCATAATGGATCGATTGAATGTGCTGCACCAGGGCCAAGATACAGCCAACATTCGACATGAAATGCTGCGGGATGCCATTTCGCCCACACTTTCTATAAGAGTGGGTACGAGAAAAAGATATGGTCTGATTTCGGGGCGTCATATTTATATAGGAATGTGGCACCCTGGGCTCAGGGAAGCCCTTCGTTTGTTCAGGCGCCCAATGTCAATGAGGTCTTCCTCAGCTACGTGGACCATTCAGCTTCGGAGATCTATGAAGAACCGGATCGGATGTCCCTCAGATACACGAGGACAAATGTACAATGAATTGTCCGGAAGCCAGCTTGATATCGCCGCTTGCCACGTCACCCGTGGACAACGTCAGTTACGCTTCAGGTGCAGCTTCAGGGAAGTGTTCTGTGTGCCATGATTTGATGCAGGTCTCTCCTAGCCAGTTACATGCTTATGAGCGGTGCAAAGCCTACGATGTATAGCTCAAGAACGTTTGGTCAATGGAAAGAAATGATATTATCTTGGTCAAAAAGCAGAAAGCTGTCATTCACTCATTTATTTGATCTCACCAGCCTCGGGCTCATCGTCAACCTTGGCCAATCCGTGCTCTTTCAATAGAGCATTGATCTCATCGGCGCTCCACAGATGGTGGTAGATCTTGCCTTCGGGCGTTCTTCCCACCGTCGCGAACTCGACTTTTTATGATGTGCATGTTAGCAGGTGATGCAGGTGAGATACAGTCTGTACGATCCGGAAAGGAACCACTTACTCTTCTCACTGCTCAACTTCGTTGAGTCCATCGTCTTGCTCAAGACCTTCACCGCCATGGCGCAAGCCTCCTTCAGATCACAGTCCTCCTTGTAGTCTTGCTTGAGCAAGCTTTGGGCGCTTGCGTTGTTGGCGCCCACGCTGGTCGCTTTCCAACCACCGTAGTTACCGCTGGGGTTGCTCTGGTACAACTGGAACTGCCGAAGAGGGTCGTAGCCCGCATAGATGAATGACACACCGAAGGGACGAAGACCACCGTGTTGGGTATATCCTTGTTTCAGATCGCACAACCGGCGGACCAGTTGCTCGCAAGGGATCTCTTCGTTGTAGGTAAGGAGGTACCGCTGAGCGGCTTGTCGGGCGTAGTTGATCAGGATGTTCGCGTCTGCCGTCATACCAGCAACAGCACAGATCATGTTGCTGCCCAAAATGTTAGGCTAGTCAAGGGCGGTGGGATGAGGGCCGCATACTCATTCAGTGTGTACAACTTCTCGGCAGATGTGTCCTGCTCGAGCAGCTTGCTAGTGACTTTCTTCTCCGCGGCCAGGACGATTCCATCCTTGGCCAGAATACCCAGTGCAGTACCGGCGTGCGAGATGGCTTCTAACGCATACTCGACCTGGTACAGGCGACCTTCGGGGGAGAAGATGGTTGTCTGTCGAAGAACGTCATCGGGTCAGCTAGGAAGCTTCCGAAAGAACAATTGATCATCGGGGGGGGGATAAGCATACTCTGGAATCGTATCTTCTTGACATCTTGAACTAATCGAACAAATATTGAGAAACTTCAGTTGTGTATATCAAGCAAAGAGAGAGGGTGGGAATGAGCGGAGTTGTGATGGGGGGGGGG